AAGCACCTGCTGTGGCAAGCATGCCAAAGTAAGAACACCATCTCATTGCTGACGATAAATTCTGTGCCACATGTACAAAGAAATTCTCTTTGGGACCCAGCATCTCTCACCAGTTTGCTGAGACAGATGTTGCTTTAACTTCTCTACATTTCCCAACTCAGAGTCAAGATTAAATCTATCAGACATTAGTTGAGAAATACAGGGAAATGACACATTCTATTGAACTAAGCATCATGATTCCCCACTTCTGAACAACCAGGATTCAAAATCATCTGCCTGGCTGTTACACAGTAGAATGATTTATTCCCAGCAGGTCCTTCAGTATTAGGAATATATAGAATCTGGGAAACACATTCAAGCAATTTACTAAACATGTTTAAAATGACATACATAATCCCAACAATGGACCCAGCTGAATTTTCAACTATTTATCTTATCCTATATAATAAACACCTAATATGCTAAGGGTCTAGCCATCTGTTCAACTAATCAAAGCATAATTTGTTAATGATATGCTAAGGCTGCTCAACCACTTGCTATGACATGCACTTACCAGTAGAGGGCACTCTGGTATGTTAGCTTGCTGCTGAGGTGGGGCCAATTTGGACTGAGCGAGATAGGCCAGACATGCCCTGGAGCCCTCCCCCAATCCCTCCCTGGCTGGCCAACCTCCGAAGTCACTCCCCGGCCTGGATTTTGCACCTGTGGGGTCTTTTGGCCTGGCCTGTGCCCTCTTGCAATCCAGGACCCCTCAAGGGATGTTGGAGAGCCAAAGAAAACTGGTTTGGGCCCAATCCTGCTCAATGCAGGTGTTGTCCTCTGGTGATCAGTGAGCTCCCACAGGTGGAGCGTCACTCAGCCAGAAGCCAGGATCACTGCAGTCAGACAACTCCGAGGGCTCCAGGACTGCAAGAGGATGCAGGCCTGGCTGAGGGAACCTCCTGAGTGCATGAATTTTGTGCACTAGGGCTCTAGTTTAATTATAAGAAGTAAATCAATACAAGTACACACACTTAAAAATAGCCTCTCCTCTCTCATTTTCTGCACAACCAGTGACTTGGATCAACCTAGACTTTTCTAGGAGTTGGTATGAGGTTTAATATCTGAAACTCACTTTAATGATGAACTATTGGCATGCAGTTTAGAGTCAGAACATGCATATAGACCCTTTATAGTTTCCTGTGAAATACTGTAAAGCACATGTGTCAAACACAAGGCCCGCGGGCCAAATCCGTCCCTCCAGGCCTTGCAATGTGGCCCGCACCGCGCTGTCATCACTGCACTCTGCTGCGTTTCCATCACAATGACAGTTTATGACTGTTCAGTAAACCATTCGGCCCGCGATTTAGGCTGGATTTTAGATTTTGGCCCCTTCTCTGATTGAGTTCAACACCCCTACTGTAAAGGGTTCCAAAGAAAGCATTACTCTGACAAGTAAAGTCTTTATATCAATGGCTATTTCATCAGAACTTCCTATTTTCCCATCTAAACTCACCGTTTTTAAGTCAAGTTTGCAGAACTCCTGTAGACATAAATTCCATTACTGTCAGATTATCGACTGGTTCTCAAATGGCCTCTTTAGCTCAATTCTGTCTTGTATCGCATCTGCCTGGTATCTATTTTTTTCAATCTATAATCTCACTCATTTGTCATGGTTCTGGAAGTCACAGATTTTTCTGTCAACCCTGACATAGCCACCTTAGTCCTTTGTGGTGTTTCTCCTTCCTTTTAGTAAATAATTAATGTGACATATTTGCCACTTGATATAGAAAAAAAAAAACTATTTTTACTGCATTTGATAAGTTTTTTTCTGAATACATTTTTTCTCCCAACAATACTGTTATCTCAAGTGCATTGAAAATATGGATATAATTCTCAAATCTAAGTGTGGTATACTATACTTGTGTACAGTAAGTTCTATGTTAAAAAATTAGTGCCCAGTAGTTTACTTTTTACTATGCTCAATAAAATATTTTGCTCTGTATAATCTATAAATACTGCCTCACAAGTTCTTCCTATTTAATATACTTTGATACCACACAACTACCTTAATAAAATGTTCATTTTACATTTTAATCCAAATATTGGATTATGCATACCAAAACATTGTTTGAACAAAACTCTGAAGTTGATGACTTAAATTCAATAAATTAACTAACCATACATATCTTGGTTTTAAATATGTCCTAATAATTTTGGTGACCAAATTAAATTTTACAAGCAGTCTTTTAGTGAAATTAATATATTATATAATTATCAGTAGGCAGCAACAGGAAACCATTATGATGCATGAAAATTTTATGAACATTACAATATCTCTAGACCAGAACTGTGTGAAATCTGTTGCATGCACCTGCTCTGGATGGTTTTTCTTCCCTTGAACTTTCAAACTCATTTTACTTTGTTAAAGAAAATGTATTGCATAAAGACCAGGACAAATATTACTTTATCAAATTACGAGTGCTGAGGGCTATATTTCAATTTTCAATATACAGACCATTTCCCATCTAGTTTAAAAACAAGAATATAAAAAAAATTCTTTCAAAGACAAATAATCACTAGGAAAAGATAAGTTAAAATAAACTAAAAATCAATCATTATGTTAATTTCTACTTATGTGTTATTAGTTGTATATTCTATAAGGGTTATCTCCCCAATACTCAGTAAATTAAGATTGGAAAGATAGTTTTCCTAAATGATTTCAATACCTGTTTATTTTTCTGAATAGTTGGTAGACATAACTAAATAAATTTTCAGCCCACAGATAAATTTTCAGCTCACAGACCCCAGGCCAGCGAAGGTGGGTGCCAGCTAGGTGGAGTGGGGGGGGGGGGGAGGGAGAGAAGGGAGGGATGATCGCCCTGCCAGTCTCTCTGCACAGGGAGATGACCAGCAGCAGGCCGGCAAGAAGGCGGCACCAGGCTGGCCAAGGCTGGTGCCCACAGATCAGCGCTGATCGCTGACCAGGCCTAGGGACCCTACCTGTGCACTAATTTCATGCACTGGCCTCTAGTGTTTTCATAATTAAAATCTCATGCTGTCACACCTCAGAATTGCCAGGGGTCCCCATCACCTTCTACAACAGGGTGGACAGAAATGTTTGGATGTGGCACATCTTATTGACTGTAATTAGGACATGTCACATACTCTCATTTGTCTACGCTTTTATTAATACAATTACCTTTCTCTAGACAGTTTCCAATCCCTCCCAAATTCTTTTCAACAGTATTCATCTTTCACAGGTGCACTTCACTATTGCCTCCTTCCTATGTGTCTTCTGCGCATGCCCCTCTCATCACCTTGTTTGCTTGGTGTAAAGAAGCTGTCAGGGCCCCATGCCTGTCCCTCAAGTTAACACTAGTTAACTTCCATCTGCTAGCATTTGTGGTCTGACTGATGCCTTTATATCAGAATCACAGAGAACTGATTTCTTGTTAACATGGGAAGCAGGGGTGCTGAAAATATACCCTCTTCCCCAGCACGGGTGACCAAAAACTCTCAGGATCTAGTGTAAGGATTTGCAAGACCTATCAATTCTTGAGATCAATACTTCTAGAAAAGGTGTTTAATGCCATTTCCCATTGCCGTTGAAATTAGTCTCCAGCCTTCCTATGATAGATGGTTAATAGTAATCCTTTCCTGGCTGTCATGGCTTCTTTACTTCCCTATTAGTCTTAACTTGAATTTCTCATTTATTTAGACCAGAATCTTTGCATCTAGGTTTCTTCTTGTAGAATCCACAGTAAAATGTGTGGCACCAGAGGTATTGCATAGCGTTCTGGAGTTAAGTGGCTTGCTGTTCCCATGGCATCAAGACCTGCTGACATGATGGAACAGCTCAGGTACTAAGACTCTTTCCTGTCAAGAAGTGGATGGCATAAAGGCATAAGGAGATGTGCGCCCGGTGCAGTGTCTCCAGGATTTGAGAGAGACAGTGAAGATGAGAGCAGTACTGACTGTGGAGGTGGTAGCTTTTATATCATCCGTATGCTTTGAGAGAAAAACGGAGGGGCTCAGCCTAACCTTTCAAAATGTCAGGACATGGCATGAAAGTCAGAAGTTCTCTAATACAGCATTTAAAGAAATCCTCTTTTTTTTTTTTTTTTTTTTTTTTTTAAGCCAGAGAGAATATTGGAATGAAAACCAGACACTTTGCCTAATGGTAAGGGTAGCTAAATTGTAAAGAAGTCTTACTTCCAAGCACCAGCAAACCTCTTATTCAAAACCCAAGGCCTTACCTGGAAAGAGGTGAAATCCTGAAACATACACTCAGGATGCCTGAGTGATTTGCTCCTTCCAGAAGGGGTTATCTTCCTTGCCCGGAGACCATATAAATGCCTCCGCTGAGCTCGATGCCTCAAAATATGTACACTTCCTCAAAACTGGCCCTCATTGGTGGCTTCTAAACCATGAATTATGTTCAAAACCAATCATGGCCTAACTGAGAAATACTCTCTGATTTTTTTAACTCGATTTTTCACAAAAACAGCTACAGAAATTGGCTAGTATGTCCAGTTAGAAATTAGGAGAACATGTCTAGAAATGAGTGTTGAGTATGCTGGACAACAGTTGTATGTTAATACTTAAGGTAAAGAGATTAGTAGCTAAAAACATGTTCAGACACCAAAATAATTTACATCTAAGCATTTGTATTCTGAGAAGTGTATTTCCAAATTTATACTTTATAATATAGCTAGATACATATTTATTGTAAAATACTTTATTATAATTACAGAAAATAAAATAAATTAAATTAAAAAGAATACGCTTAAATGAATCACTGTTAAATTATACTATGGCGATAAAATATAAATTAACTAAATCTTAAAAGTTAAATTCAAATGGAAATATGATTTTTTTTTAAAAAACCTTGAAAGATATATGGCACAGTGATTGAGAATGCATGCACTTCATCACCATCTTGCATTTTACCCAAGTACTCTCACCGACAGCTTTCACATAATTCTGGTACCCCATCACCTAAGACATATTCCACTTACCCTTACTTGACCCACAAAGGCATTGGCTTCTTCTTCCACCACAGTTAGATTTCTAGGCAGATAGGGATCAAACACGGGGTCATTGTCATTGACATCTGACACCACTATATTTACTGTGGCAGTTGAGGTCTTAAAGAGAAAAGAAAAAGATTAAATGTGAGAGGAGTTATTTTTATTTTATTGTCAGTTACTTGTTAACTGTGGCATTTGTCTCTCTGAAAAGCATCTCATTCCTATTCCTATTTCTCAGTTAAAAAAAAAAAAAAAAGAGGAGGAGGCTCAAAAACAGAAAATGCAAATGATGAAATTAAAGGGAAAGCATCTTGAAAATGTCAAGTATTTACTAAAGGCTAACTTTGAGAAAGTGGTTTTACCCTCCTCTTGATCAGATTGTATGGGTGGCAAGCTTTTGTTTGAACATGCACTCCTTTTTTTCTGAAATGTAACATTTCTGTAGATTTTTTCCCCCTCTCCAGAAAAAAACAAACAAAAAAACAAACACACAAACAAAAGAACTAGTGAATTATAAAATCACACTATATGTCAACTAGGCAGGCAGGCAGGTGAATGGTTAGGAGCCAGTGGTTCCAGATTGCGAGAGAGATACATGATTGTCTGTTTAGGCTAGATCCCACAAAGGTATCACCCAAGGGATCCAAGACTGGAAAGGGTGCAGGCCAGGCTGAGGGAGACCCCCACCCCCGTGCATGAATTTTGTGCACTGGGCCACTAGTTAGGTAATAAGAATGAATAATAAAGTAAACACGATAAATGGCAGAGCAGGAAATAGGGAGCAGGCATTCCTGATGGTCTTGAGGCCTTGTACAACCCCATTCCTGCCCATGTGTAGCTTTTTTTTTTTTATTTGAGACCAATAAACCTGTTTTGCTTAAGCTACTGTGGTTTGGATTTCCTGTTTTTTATGGCCACATTTTTAAATGCTAATGCTGCCAGAGGTTGCTCTGGCAGCATTAGCAGAGTATATCACCCCAAAATATGACACCTGGTCATATTGACTATTTTGAATTGAAGGCACTTGGAAAGCAGCAAATACAGAAGAAACATGGTGACCTTCTCCCCCCCCCCCCCCCCTTAAAAGTAGGATATGAAACGCCTATGTGAAAGAGGCCCTCCCCATATCAGAAACAAACATTCTTACCAAGAGTGAGAAGTTGAGACCAAGAGAATTCTACACTAGCAGACCATGCTAGGATAATCTTAATCATCCTTTAGCCTCCATACACAAATTAGTCACTTTTGCACAAGTGCTTCTTTTATAAAAGCAGGTGAGTTTCACCATTTTTTAGGTCTTCATTTCCTTATGGGGGCTACCGCATCATATAAAACATAGTAAGTGCACGTGTATGCTTTCTCCTGTTAATCTTTGTCAGTTTAATTTTAAGACCCAGCCAAGGACCTTAAAAGGGTAGAGATTTTTTCTTTTCTTCCTAGTGCAGTGGTCGGCAAACTCATTAGTCAACAGAGCCAAATATCAACAGTATAATGATTGAGATTTCTTTTGAAAGCCACAATTTTAATCTTAAACTTTTTATAATGTCCCTTCTTCAAAATACACTTGCCTAGGCAATGGTATTTTGTGGAAGAGCCACACTCAAAAAAAAAAAAAGGAAGTGAAATGTGTATTCCTTCAAAATGCATTTGGGAGCTATCATATATATTATAACAAATAAATTTGGTAAAATATAACTGCTTAAAAATTTGCTTATAACACACAAAATTCAATCAGTCTATTTCAGCTAAAATGTGAAAATATTGGAGTAAAGAATAATAGCAGCCTTGTTAAGAAATTTTCAACTTCATAAATTTGCAAGTAATTTCAAATAAATGTAAATATTAAAATCTATAAAATTTTATTTTTTGTAATCATAAAACTAAAGAAATCTAAATATTAACAGGTATGTATTACATGAGAAGTCAATATTAACAAGTATGTATTACATGAGATATTTAATTTATATGAATAGATTTTTAAAACTATTATTGACAAACTAAATTTAGGAAAAAGGGAAAAAATGTAAGAATGCCATATAAAATTTCTTCAATGTTGTCTACAAAAAATTAGCAATGACCAACTGCATATTAGTTCTCTTCTTTCTTAAACTCTTCTGGGGGTGGTAAGGGATGGGGTTTCTCATGATAACATTTTAAAATTATATCTTCACAATTTGTTTCACACATAGTGCTGGTAATCATTTTGATTTAAGAAAAGTCCATCCATACGGTGTCTATGCTCATTAAACATCTTTCTTGAGATCCAGGATTTTTAAGGTTAATGGGTTAATTTCACTATAATTTTGCAAAGGATATGTTTAAATGTTTAAATAAGAAAAAAATGTTATGACAATATGAGAATATTATCATTCTGTAATCACTTTTTTTTTTTTTTAGGAATCTACTCTCTGTGTCCACAAGTCCATGCATAAAATTATATGAATAAAATTTACCGAACTTTTTGTTTAAAATCAAATATTTCTTTCTCTACTGATACTATCTCATGGTAAACTTTTGAAAATAATAAACCCAATAAAAAGAATCAAAATTTTAAAAGTGAATGAGACAATGATTATAAGAATATAAAAATTAGGAACTGGAAATGCTAAGTAACTTAGCCAAAAGGAATTGAAATACACAAATTACTGGGGGGAGGAAGAGGAGGGGGATGTTCTAGAAGGAACCAAACTACTAATTTTAACCCTGAACTTATTTTTAGTTTTTAATGTGGACAAAACCAAAATCAGCACATTGAGACTATGCTTGATATTCTAATATACCTAAGCTGTTCTTTTGTCAAATAAAAATGCCTGATATTCTAATATACCTAAGCTGTTCTTTTGTCAAATAAAATTTACTTTTAAGATCAGGCTTAAAAGGCCCCAGCTAATATCTCAAAGCTTGTATTACAATCTTTTTTTCTATCCTAATGGCTGACCTGTATGCTCCTCATTAATTTTACTTCACTCTAATTATAGCCCTTATTCTATGCTGAATAAATAATTCCTGCTCCTCTTTAGAATTGTTCCCTCATTTATTTCCTAGCCAAGTTACCCATTAAACTTTCATCACAAATCAAGTTCTTCAATTATTTTCTTCTCAAGTTTCTCATTAGGTAAACAGCAAATATGGAACATAAAATTTACAGAACAGTTTTAGTAAATAGTGGAGTCAATAGTGGAAGATACTTAGATATTAGAGGTGAGGAAAAATGAAATCTAAGAAGTACTTATATTTATGCAATACCCTTGATTAACATAGTGTGTCTGTAAATTTTATGTTAGATATTAGCTGTTTATCTAATGTTTGAAAAATGACAACTAGCTCATAATTGGCAAATTATAATTACCAAATTTAATTAATTACCTCTATTTTTCTGATTTTTAACTAAGGTGATAACACATTCCAGGTATAAATTTGATATGTTTTTATCATGGTGAAATTTTCTCAGCAATCAGCCTCAAGTAAGTGTGAGAAGATCATTATATGGTCCCAAACAATTTATCATATTTATCAAATAAATCATTTCAAGAAAATGGTAGATGTGTTACTATTTGAATTGGGTAATTCTTGCCTATATACCTATACTGAATTTGAAATTATTTCTAGAGGACAGAGGACAGTGCTGAGTGGGTCTAGATACAGTTGATAAAAACAAACACACACAGCTGGCTGGTGTAGCTCAGGAGTTGAGCATCGACCTATGAACCAGGAGGTCACAGTTTGATTCCAGGTCAGGGCACTTGTCTGGATTATGAGCTCAATCCCCAGTGTGAGGCATGCAGGAGGTAGCCAATCAATGATTGTCTCTCATCATTGATGTCTCTCATCAATGATTGTCTCTCATCTATCTTTCTCTCCCTCTCCCTTCCTCTCTGAAACACACACACACAAAACCACCTTCCTCACCCGCAAAAACAATCCCCAAAGATAAAAAACTGTGGCATAGAAATGGTGAAAAAATAGTCTAAGTGATTTGGTGCCAAAAACTGAAATGTTACCATGCTTAAAAATCAGAATAGCGGTGGTTGTGCCTGGCACTGTTTAGAGAATACAGCTGAATTGTCTTAAAACAATTCAAAATGACTAAACTATTTACTCTTAAAACTAATTTTAGAGCACAGAGAAAACAAAATTTATTGTCTCTAGATTTTAGGGTCCCTTTAAACCACTGCAATCATCAAGGATTAGTACAGATTCTGAGTGCTGCTTACAAATCCACCGTGGAATCAATTTGTTTTCCTAAGTGCTTCAAGGCATGTATCCACAAATTCCCTTTTAACACTTCTCCACCTCACAAAGTGACATTAAAGGAAAGAGGTTCCAATATAGTAAAATTCCCAGAGTGCTGGGCTGTTGTTGATGGATACAACTGAATACTTTCTAGACTAAGTTAGATTTCATGTTCCCCATAAATTGAGTAAAAATGTCAAACACAAGTATCTATTCTGTCAGGTCAAAAGTGTTTATAAGAGTATAGGTTCATTTATTAATAAAGGAACCTACTGGAGAAAAGAGCACTTTGAATAATTTTAATAGTTGCTCCAGATTAAAAAAAAAAAAAGAGAGAGAGAGAGACTTATTCATGAATTTGCGAGAGTGATACAATTTTTTTTTTTTAGAATGTAAAACTACAAAGTTCTCTCAGTTTCTTTAATACTATTTTTAAAACCCTTTCCCAGGGAGAGTACTCACCCCATCTGGCCTGCCATCATGTGCAGTGACGATGAGAATGTAGCGATCCGTGCTTTCCCTGTCCAATGCTTTCCCTAAGGTTAGAATCCCAGTACTAGTGAGAGAGAAAACAAACAAACAAATAAGGCAGAAAGGCATTTTACCCCAGGGGAGTCTTCCTGCTATCCTGAACTACTTTTGCTATGCTTTTCTCCTTCATCAAACTCATCTTAAGTATATAAGATGTATGATTCTAAGCTTCATGGGGAACATCATAAGTCTTTTAAGGTTGTTGAATTTCTTAGCAAGAATGAAAAATTACAATACCAAACCAAATGACATAATTTTAACACAGCTCCTTTTACTGTGATAGTGGAATTTAAGCAATTAACACCACATATGGTCCTGGGGTATAGAAAGTCAACACCAATGAATCAAAATCAGAGTCTGTTACTCTTGTTGTTGATATAGACTTAATAAATGCTATGAACATATGGCATGGTTATGAAAACACTGCCTCTACCTCTTGTACATTTTTAAAATGCTTTTATCAAAATAATTGTAACCCAATTACTAGAGTAGTTCATAACACTTAGATTTGGATCAACTTTCCACACCACACATGGTTCAGATAATCTCATTCTAAAATGACATTCAGAGAAAAGTATGACATTTATTACTTCTGAGACTTATTTGCAAGTAACTTAATAGGAAATCTGAAAACCTAGCCACAGTATAATAAAGAAAACTAAGATATTGTTGCCCCCCCCCCTCAGTTTAAAGATCAAGACTCTATATTCTTTCTTATACAATGAATTAGAAAAACCACTATATTTATATAATTTATATATTTCCATTTAGAGCCATGTTATACATTAAAGTGTAAATGCCCTGCTCCAAGCATACGGTACACCTCTGGCCCACAATGATAAGACACAAGTTGTTTACTACTGCCTATATAAGCACGGGACCTTCTTCAGTCCATTTCTCTGGACTGATAAGAGGAGGATTCCATGTCGCTCAGAGAGACAAGCCCCTGATTGCTCTGCTGTGTGAGTCTGAACCAACTGTAGCCACCTGCTTATCTCTGTTTTCATCGTCCTTCCTTCAGTGTGCATCGCATAGGACTCACTAGGAATAGGTAAATAAACCCTGTGTGATTGCATACTAATTCTGTCTTGTGTGTTCATTTGTTCCGGTTTGGCTCATCTGTCTAGACATTGAAGTACCAGGGAATAGGCCATTATTGATGACCCCTACTCACCTGAGTATTTCCCACTAAATCTAGGCAGATAATTAATTAATTGGGGCATAATTGGGACATGGGGCCTCTTTGACACAGGAGGGACCACAGTGGCAACCAGTATGGTCTATGGAGTCTTTCTAACAGTTGGATTGAAGTTATAGAACAGCATACATTGGGCTACATTTATAGATTCAGTAAATCTTGTATGTATACATATTAAATATATGTAAGAATCACTTCTGATTGAAACATCAATAATAGTGCTACTTGAAGTTTACAGGATTGAAAATGTATTGCAAAAGAGGGATGTCAGTGAAAATGGTTCAGCAGGAAGCTCTAAGTCTTAGATGATCTCTCCACAAAAACATTGAAAAACTGAAGGAGAAAGGGTCAGAACCAACTTTGATAGAATTCTGGAGAACAGTCAAAGGTTGGCAGTAACCAAATAGAGGCAGAGTCAAGAAAAAGGCAACTTAAAAATGGTGGGCAGGCTTTGTAACATTTACACTTGTCCTTGTCTCCATGCCCTGCCCTGGAGAAGACTTGAGGATGGCAGTCACCATTCCCACTGTTTCTGGAGGGAGCAGAGCTATCCTTGTTCTTAAAGAATTGTGTTTGTCTATCCAACTAATCTAGAAGCTGTCCTAAGATGTAATACAGGCTTTCTTTGTTTTCTCTAACTCAGAACTCCTTCAAGGCAGAAAAGTATGGGTATTTTTGAAAACATTATATAAGGAAAGTATAATCTGATACCACTTGAGGCAAAAGATACAGCTGAGTCATAGAAAGAGCTCCAAAAGCCAGGGGGGTGGGACTGGGCAAAGAGTTTCTGGGAAATTAGGGCATTCAAAACTGCTCATGAATCCTGGAGAATGGAACAAAATTGTCCAGAAATAAACCTGTACATCTGTGATCAATTGGTTTTCAACAAAGATGCCAAGATCATTCAATAGGGAAAATGGTGCTGAGGCGATGGGAAATTGTGAAACTATAAAATTGCACTATTTTACACCATATGTGAAAATTAAATAAAAATGAAACAGTAATCTAAATATAAGTACTCAAATCATAAAACACTCAGACAAAAACGTAGGGGAGAATCTTAATGATTCTGGATTTGACAATAGATGTCTAAATATGAGATCAAAAGCATGAACAAAGGCAAAAAAAAAAAAAAGTATGCAATCATCACAGGGTTCTGCCCTATACTCACTGTTGAAGGAGAGCAAAGTTTGTTGCCCCAAAATATGCCTTGTTGGTATTGATTATTTTAAGCTGGTTATATTTTTTAGAAACACATGACTTAGGAAGAAACTTTGACATTCCCTCTAACTTCCTAAAAGAATTTAGATAGAGGACCTGCTCCAGGAAAGGAGATACCATCACAGGTAACTATAGTTTAATATGAATTAGTGTGGGAGAGACACAGGAACCGAGCAAGGTCCATTTGCTCAAAGTTCTCCTTGTGCCTATTATTAGGTTACAGCTGATATTTGTTTACTAAACATATGCTTTCCCATTTCCATGCGAATTACCTTCCACCACTTGAAGTCCCAAGCAACTATCCCCATCCTCTTCCCCATTGCTTAAGATGGCATACAAACCTCAACTGCCTAATTGGTCACCAGACCCTATATTCTTATGGAATCTCTATCTGTACTTCCATAATTAAATTTAAATTTGGTAATATACTCCTTTTTACTTGTCTCAGGGCAATTTAGTTCTTAGACCAGCCAGAAGAACTAACTAAGAAGGGAAAGGGGGGATTCTCTATTCCCTAACACTGTCCTAGAATCAGATTGTATTTAAGGAGATGGCTGTTTGAATTTGACCTAAGAGCTGTAGTATTAAATTGTGGTGAGTTTAGTCAAAGAGGATGCTGTATTGACATCTTTCTCAGCTTAAAGAACTTCTGTGACCCCACCTAGGTGTCTTTGGTTTCAAAAGCGGAGATGAGAGGTAGCAGAGAAATGGTTGCTAGGGTACCAGAACAAGTGGAGAATTTCTTTTGTAAAATGGATGGCTCATCAGCGTTCACAACCAGTAGCTGTAAAATCCTTCAGGATCAGAGGAAAAACCCAGGAATATAAATTTTTAAGAGAGAGAGTGTAAGAAAGACAGACCTGGGCTTCCTAATTACTAGGGCAGGTGAAATATTCAGGGTTCTCTCTCTTTTAAATAGTTTTATTAATGCAAAATTCACATATCATAGAATTCACCCAGTTAGAGCATATGATTCAATAAGTTTTAGTATATTTGCAGAGTTGCTAAGCCATCACCAAAATCGATTTTAGAACATCTTCATCACTGTATCCCTTAGCAGTCACTCCCCTCTTCCCTGCCCCCCACCTTCAATAATACTTGTCTACTTTCTGTCTCTATAGGTTTGCCTCTTCTGGCATTTCACACTAATGAGATCATATCACATGTGGTCCTGTGAATGACTTCTTTCACTTAGCATGATGTTCTTAAGTTTCATCCATGCTGCAGCATGTTTCAAGGCTTCGTTCTCCTTTATTAACAAATAATATTACATTGTGTGGATATACATTTTGTGAATCCATTCATCTGTAGACAGTGCATATTTTGCTATTGTAAATGATTCTAATTCTGTTATGAACATTGTGCAACTTTTTGTGTGAGTGCATGTCTTTATTTCTCTTAAGTTGATATGAGTGAAATTGCTGGGTTATATGGTAACTCTGTTTATCCTTTAGAGACCTGACAAGTTGTTTTGCAGAGTGCACATTTTACATTCCTCCAGAAACATATGAAGATGCTGACAGCTCCACATCCTCACCCTTACTCTTCTTTCCTTTCCTTTTCATTATAGCCATTCTAAGTGGGTGTGAAGTGGTATCTCATTATTTTAATTTACATTTCCCTAATGACTAGTGATTAGAAGCAAATTTCATTTGTTTATTGGTCACTAATATATATTCTTTGAAGAAGTGTTTATTCAAGTTCTTATCTGTTTTTATTTGGATTAATTCTGTTTATTTTTTAGTTTTAATAGTTTTTTAATATATTCTTGATATATGTCCCTATCATAGACATTATTTGAAAATAATTTCTCTCAGTCTGTGGGCTGTTTTCACTTTCTTGATGGTATACTTTGAAGCACTCTTTTTTTCTTTTCAAATTTTGATGAAATCTGACTTATCAGTCTTCTCATTAAGCACTTATGCTTTTGTGGCATAGCTAAGAAAGCATTGCCTAGTCCAAACCTCATAGATTTTTGTATTTTCTTCTAAGTGTTATACAATTTTATCTCTTATACTTAGGTCTATCCTCTTTGGGTTAATTTTTGTGAATAGCCTGAGATACAGATTCAACTTAATTCTTTGGCATGCTGTGCCAGCTTCATTAGTTGAAAAGATCATTCTTTCCTGATTGGATTGCCAGGGCCCTTTGTTTCTGGAAATCAATTGGCCATAAATGTTAGGAGTTATTTCTGGGCCCTTAAGCTTTATCCTTAATAATTTCTACATCTATTCTTAAATCAGTACCACATAGGCTTGATTACTTTTAAAGTGCCTCTATCGACTTTTTTTTTCTTTACTTAATGACGATTTTTGGTTATAGCTCATTTATGATTTGTATGTACTGATAGGGCAAAATTCAAAACAGTTATGTCTTTCCATTTTTATGTGGAAGTTTTTTCATCTGTAAGATCTGAAGTCTGGAAAATCCAGTTTCTAGGCATATTGATTCATGGTTATAACATCTTATTCAATGTGAAATTCCAACTATTCCTCACAAGACTAGGTGACCACATATGATTTCCTTGGTTTGACATCATGTACCAATGTTTCTGAGACTGAAGCAATGTGTGGCTCATTTGTCAAAATGTCCTTTTATAATCATGGGATAAGTTTAGGTTTCCATTCTTTCAGGGAGTGAAACCACTCAGGACTTCACAGAAAACACCAGACAGGCAGTAAGCACAGCTCTTGAACAACCAGCCACTTGTGACAATAGAACAGCTTCTTCGCTATTTCAGAAGAAAGCTAATGATCTCTCCACAAACCTCAATCCTTTCTTAATGCCTGCTACCAGTTTTCTCAGTGGTTGTGGTTAACTTTATCTTTGATATGTTCAGAGAGGTGAGTTGAATGACACTAGTAGAATAAACTCCAAAGGAACTTATCATAGATATGCAATATTTTTTGCGTTAACATTTTTAGAATATGTCTACATTATTCACAAGTTGAATGATGGACTTTGCTGGTACCTTAAATTTGTTTGAATTGAAAGTACTTTGTTTTACAAAATTCCCTTTGAATGAACAATTTGCTCTTTATAGAAATGCCCTTGTTATTATGAGCAGCTGACAATGTTAAAGGGACCTAACTGATGCCAGGTTATTTCTGCAAATAAAATGTTCCCACCTCAGTGGATTTTACCTAGTGAAAACGTTTAAAATAAATAATCTCTGGGTAAAATTTCTGGATCCAGAATAGCCACCCCATCCCCAGCTTATTAATATTCATAGAAAACATCTAAAATAAACTACAAACTGCCGAAAGCCTTTAATTAGAAGTCCACTCTCTTACTACAAGTACTTTATTTAACATTTAAAAAAGAAAAAAAAATCAGAAATCATTTTCAACTTACGTTTCTGAAAGATTGAAAACTCGCTGAGGATCTCCCTTCTCAATGGCATATGTTATTGGGTCTCCCTCTCGATCAGTTGCCTTCAGAGAGAAATCATAATTCAATTAACAACTAATTGGTATGGCTCCTAATCAGTACAGTGTAATATAAAAACTTGAAACTAACACCACAGAATGCCCAGGACTAATAGCATAAAGATTAAAAATTAGCTAATGGCAAAATATAAAATAAAAAATTTCATATATGATCCCAGAATTTCTGTCATTTTATCTCCTCTGAAAGTCATAATAGTGAATAAGAAAAATAAATTCTAAACTCATATATAATCTTACCAGGTGGAAAAACTCAGCAGTGATTTTCCTAAGGTTTATGTATTTAATTTTGCCTGAGTCTATAATTTATACCAATGTATTAAACTCCACATAAATGTTTATATGTAAAGAGAATATTTAACACACTTTTCTTCTTTTTTCTACTCAAAATTTATCAACTCAGGAAAGCATAATAGAGCTAGACAGCTTGAATTTAAAACCAAGCTCCACTTATTGTGTGATCATTTCTCAATTTCTTCGCTGACAAAGTGAAATGCATAATAATATAAAAGTTAATAGATATTAGGAGGTTTAAGTAAAACAATCTATGCCAAGTCACACAGGCTGGCATCTGCCACATTCTATGTTTCCAATAAATATTATCCTGCTTCCCCCTGCCTTCCTGTCACTCAAGTCAGAGAAGATTAAAACCTATAGCTTCTCACTTTGAGTTCTGGGTTTCTCTTACCCAAAATAAGTACCATGCGCTAACTGATTGCGCCGCTGGAGCTCCTGTCTTACCCAAAATAAAGACACACACTCTACTTTGTGGCACTGGAGAAGGGAATGTGACCTAAAAACTAAAGCACTCAACAATTTTCTTTTCCAATGAGTCATGGAAGAGATGAGTAAAAAATATGAATATTATATATAATAAAGAGCTAATATGCTAATTAGACCGAATAGCAGAACAACTATCCAGATGACCTTCCAGATGAAACCAGGGTTGCCAGAACTGGCAGAGGCAGCAGGGGCTGTGAGGGCGGGGCTGTGAGGGCGGGGCTGCGAGGGCAGAATCCCTTGCACGGATTTTGTGCATTGGGCCTCTCATAGATGATATAAAAAGGATGTAAGAGGAATCTACCCAAGTATGACCCAGGGAGAGAGGATGTATCTGAGAAATGGCTAGAAGAATTTTATTTACAAGTTGCAACTTCCATGTCCAGAACAGCAGGTGCTGTTTCCACTGGAAGATCAGATAGCTTTGATGTGCATTATTACATAGCCCTGGTCATAAAACAACTCTATAAGCTACCACAATGAATGGATGGCCAGAAGTCTCTCCCGGACTACTAACACATGAGTCCTGAACAACTGAATAAGAACAAATAATGTTTACAAGGTGCCAGGTTCAATGGGAGAAGCTTTGCTGGATTACTTAATCTGTGCCTCACAAAAGTGCCTTCTCCATGAACACTTCCTTCACAAGGCTTCCATAACGACAGACTCATCTGCTTGTAATTCTACCTTATTGGCCACTTCTTGTTTTTCCTTGCTGATTTCTCCTTGGACCTCCCCCAGTCCCTTTATCCAATTGTATAACTTTACTTATACACTGAAGATCCTCATATCTCTAAACCCACCTCTCCTCTGAATTACAAACATATCCAATTGCTCACTTCTGTTGCCAATTAGTTAAATTATAAGCATCCCCAATTTAAAAATGTTAAAACTCCCAAAACCCCTCGCCCACTCCTCTCCTCATCAAGAAAACAACTAGCTGATTTCAGTCTTCATGATCTCAGTAAAGAGCAGTCACTACCCTCTCCTATTTTCTCAGACTTCATCTCTTGACCTTAGTTCCCAGTGTAACCCATCAGCAAATCTCATTGGATCTGTCTTTAAAATATTTGCAGGATTTGTTTGTATCTGACCTCATTCCCTACTAACATCTTCCTCGTGAATTATGGCAACAACGATCTTACTGGAGGCCTTATTTTCTCCCTTATACCCTCACTGTAGTTAAATTCTAATTAAGCTTAAATAACAAATATCTTCTTCCAAGCCAAGATATTATTTTTTGGGAGGGTTGGGGGGAGGGGGGAAGTTAGGCTATCACATTACACACACACACACACACACACACACACACACACACACACCAAATAAAACAAAAAAAAAAATAGTAAGGTACAGTGAAATAATAAAACCCCTATGGTTTTAGATCTAAATCTAAAAATTTTAATTTCATTAAGTAAATTACAATACAATTTTTAGAGTAGGGAGTGATAAACAAAATAAATTTTTTTAAGCACACAAAATGACATTGGTAGTAGATGTTTTATATTTTTCTTGTTAGAAAAGTGTGAGCAAAAATAAATGAAACTGCAAATAATAAAATTTGGAAAAACACATAATTATGCATATCTGGAGTCTGTGTTTTATCATTAAAAAGCTCACATTAAATTATTTCTGTTGTTTTTCTCTGTCATTTATACCTGTCAGATTGCTATAGATATTGTCATTTCTGTGCGTTTGCTTATTAGCATGTGGCTGTTTTTGAGAGACAATTTATTGTTTTGTGTTTTCATAAATGCCAGGAGAAATAGATTCTGAAGCCTGGTAGCTTTGTGCAAATACTTTTAAGTCCAGATTAAGGCTGATCTTTTCTTAACAGGTCTACTCTAATATTTATTCCTTTTGAGAGGACGAGGTTACATTGATTATGGTGTCATTTTATGTATATAAGTCCTTATTTTGTTATGTTACTAAAATGATAATAGAGAAGAATTCTTAGAGGATTCTCAAATTTCCCAGCCAAATTAATTACTTCCACCTCTGAGATACTTTAAAGTATTTTTTTAGTTTTATTTGATGGTTTAAATGTCAGGCATTTAAGGATTGTGGGAGCCAATAATTTTCCTACTTGATTCTCATGTGAGGTTATGCCCCTATTGGAAGCTTTGAAGACCCAGGATTTAGAAGGAAATCCTTATTTGATTGTTTTCTTTCTTTTATCCTCTTAGGCAATTCTTTGTTGTTATTTCAGGATCTGTGGCAAATGGTATAGTAATTAGAGAAGATTCATAATTCCTCAGTCAACTAAGCAAGGGGAAATGATGTTATCTGGCTCAGAGTTCTTAAATCTATCCATTACAAGTGTTAGCTCTAGTATAAATACCAATAAAGACCATATAATATATATATATATATATATATATATATATATATATATGGTATATATTTGCCATATCTAAAGGAAGAAATAACACATAAAACAAATAATTGGAGAAATCAGCAGAAGCATGGATTCTTAGAGTATTAAGCTTTGATCATGTGCATATACGTGTCTTAAAACACATTTGTAAAATCATTAATTTTTCTTCTAATTACAATTCTAGCCAGCCTTCTCTAAATGATGGACAGAAATTTATATATGATATTGAGTATTGAATCTTAATAACCTGATAAGTGAATGCGAAATACACAATATTTCAATTATATTACTTTTTTGACACCATTCTAATTAGAGTTCTTTATAATTTTCTTAATTGGAAAACACATTTTTTTTTTAAATTTAGAGATAACAGTAACTGTTTCATTTAAAAAAAAAAAGCAGAGTATAGTGGAGTTTTTTGTTTTGTATTTCCCATAATATAACTTAAGAATCACTTATCCTTAATACGAAAACATTCCTACATTTTTATTTTCATCAGTCAGGTCAAATCTAGCCCTTCACTGAAGGTCTGAGAGAAGTACAGTAGCACACATTCTCCCTACATCTCACTGCGAAGGCTCTGGAGTCGGCCCCCTGGTTCCAGCCCTGGCTGTTCTATCTTCTCTCAGGTTAGATACCCACCTACAAAATGAAGACGATAACAGTAACACCTATAGTTTTCACTCATTCATTCAATAGACATTTATTGAACATTTTTTCTGTGTTAAACACCAGGGCTTCACAAATAAACAACAGAATTTTTTTTTTCTTTGTACAGTTTATATTGTAGGAGGAGGAAGAAACAAGTAATTAATTAAAATTTATATTTTTAGATCCAAATAAGCATTATTAAAATATAAAATAACTCAGGAAGGACAGATGCGGGGAGAGAGTCAGGGTTTTCACTTATGTACAGACTATCAGGAAAATGTGGTAAGCACTTATAAAAGGCGAGAGACCAAGGCACCTGGGGAAGGGCTTCCTAGGCAGAGGGCCTGGCCAGTGAAAAGGCCTTGTGATGGAAACCAGCCTGGTGAATTGAGCAGCAGCAGCAACCAGCTCCAGTAGTTAGCCTCAGATAAACAACCCGAGGCCATGATTGAAGGAAGCTCACTCTGAATAGCTAGCAGTAATGGAATTTAGTCATTGGTGTGCTGACACACGTTTAGCAACATGATAAATTAAGACAAAGCTGGTTTTCCCCTTGTTGCTTGAAGGACACAAACTATCTTTAGAGACCAAAGCAACTATTCTTTTCAGCCTGCTCCTCCAAATTAATCACTGCGTCTAAATGGAAGCCACCCATTTTTCAGAAACACCAAGACGGACATAAAAGTATTAAGCAGGGTGCTTAGATGCTGTTAAGTAGGAATTTTGCTCAGGAAACAAATTTTCTCTAATCTAATATTCTGCTCGTGTTAAAGACAAATGCAGCGGTCAAATACCACCAGGTAGAGTGCACTCTATAAACAGAATGATTCTACATATTTCACAGGACATTAAGACAAAGTGCCTGCCCTTAGGGATTCTAACGCAGATAAAAACCAATAGGTTTAGATAATCTTTTCTCTTCTCACTTAGGCAAACAATTTCTGATTTATGTTATTAAACTACCTGAGAGCAAGAAGTGAAGTTCAGTATTAGCAGTTTCCCAAAGCGTGGATGGGTATCCCTGGTAATAAATTGTTGGCCCTTTAACACAATGTTAATGTTTATGTTTAATAATATATTTTAATATGAATTACTGTATGTTTTATGGCAAGTAGTGTTGTTTTTTTATGATTCTGATATAAAATTTCCTTTTGAAATCAGTTTATGTAAAAATGTCAGT